CGGGCTCCGCCCGATCCCCCCGAATGATCCGCTTCGCGTGAGTAGCGTCAAGTCTATATGTTTCCACCGGAAACTAGGGGATTGGCCTTTCACAATGGTGTATGCGTGCTGGTAGTGTTCAACTCATTTCACAGACACATTATTCTCTTCAATCAAACAAAATGAAAACGTATTCCAGACAAATTCGGTAATATCAGCTGAAAAGGGAGAGAAGTAAATATGGAATGGCCTAAATTTACTAATACTAAATACTAATAACATTGGTTAATGTAAGAATACAAAATATGAAAACATTAGGCACCACAGGCAGTAGCAAAAATGAATGGAAAATCCATCCTATTAGCTTATTGTAACGACTCAAAATGTCTATAGCTAAAAATATCAAAATTCTGACATGAAAGATTTGAAGAACTCAGACATGAATGAGGTAATGAAGTAGCCTACTGAGCAATATCCAAACGTCAAAGGATATGCCTTCGAAAGGGAATTCCCTGTACTTAGTATAAAATGTATTAGCCGAACGACTAATTCTCATCTGCAGTTTTATGCTGACATGTTAAAAGGGGTATTCGCTAAAACGCTCTTTAAATGTAGGCTAGTCTATGTTTTCACAGAGGCTGTTAGGACGAATAATATTTTACTTTGAAGTTATTTACCGGAGGTTCACTCTATGTTGCCGATAGTCTTTTCCTGAGCACAGATTTCGGAAAGTGGAGGCCAGCAGCTACGTTACCCTCAAATCGTCTGGGGTCCTCTTGTCAGAAAACTTTTTAAAAGCTCTTGACTGGCAACAAACGCTGTCAGGTAAGTTGTTTTAATTGAATATTGAAATGTAAAAGTCATCCTTTAATAGTAAAAATAGGCAGTGATGTAAAATACAGTTTTAATCGTTTAAGTTGCCGACACGTTGAGTTAAAGAAAGCGTCCGTTAGCTAGCAAGGTAAGAATGTTGAGAGACGGGAGCCATTATGAGAGACTTGCCCACTAGCTAGTTGACATCGAGACCAGTCCGAGGAAAAACTGCTTGAGTTATGCAGTGCACTTAAAAGTAGTGTTAACTTTTTTAGGAAAATATCTTAGGATGCACAGACAAGTCGAGACATCGTGCCATTGTTAAGTTTTAGGCTGAGCTCAAATATGGGGATTAAAAAGCCTGCCCGAACATGTATTGTTGATTTAATGAAAGGTGATGTCTAGAGATCAACGGTATTTGCTGTTAGCAAGGTAACCATTTTTGCTAAATCTCCTCGTGCTAATTTGTTGGGTTGCTTTTTATTCGGTTTTACACGCTGCTCAACTGGACTCTGTGTACATTTTTATATATGCTACGTTGAAATGGCGTTGCTCTGTTTCCCACAGGACACAGCTAGTCTTCCACACTTGTAGACAAACATTCACTGATTGTGTTTTGGTAACATTTCTCTCCCTAAGGACGCTCGTCTTTGTCTCCATAGTAACGTGGCGGACGCCCAGCCTCAGCGCCGAGCGCTGGGCTTTCTGCGAGGCGGCGGAAACGGAGAGGAACGACGGGGCATCGATCTCTCTCTCCACGTGAAAACAAAATCAGTCGAAGATGGTAAGGAGCGCAGGGCTGAGTCCGGGACCGCAACACCATTATAGGTAGAGGTGGAATCTGTGCTCTGCTGTTTTGCTTCCTTGAAGCAGATGCTGCTGCCTTTCTTTTCTTCTTTCATTGTCTGTTCCTCTACTTGTGTGCAGTATATAGATCATTTGATGCTAACAGTTCTGACTTGCTCAATGCGTTTTAATAACAATGCAAAATCTCTCTTGTCTGTGTTACAGCCATTTCATGACAACGTCTTCTACCGCTATACCAGTGACACTCAGGGGACACACTCTTCAGCAGGGATCCCCTCCCTTCTGAATTCCCCACTCAGCCAGCACTCTGTGAACAGCCTCTCTGTACCAGTACCAGGCATGACTCCATCCAGCGGGGCCACCACCTTTATCCCCTTCAAATTCCGCCCACGCAGAGAGAGTGTGGATTGGCGTCGAATTAACGCAGTGGACATAGACCTGGTGGTGAGTCAGCTGGATGTGGATGCTCTTCAGGAGCACATCAGCACAGTCACCTTCTGCAGCTTGGATGGGGAGCGATGCCAGCGATGCCAGAGCCCCGTGGACCCGGCTCTGGTCAAGCTCCTCCGCCTGGCCCAGCTCACAGTGGAGTGGCTCCTTCACTGCCAGGAATTTCTCACCCTTAACCTGTGTGCGGTGGAGGAGAGGCTGACAGCTTCCAGCAGGGAGCGTGAGCAGCTGCTGGCTCAGCAGAAGAAGCAGGAGGAAAAGGTGAAGATGCTAACCAGCGAGCTCAAGCAAAGGAAGAAGGTCATTCGCACTCAGCAGTCCATGCTCACGCCACGAATCATCAGCAGCCAGAAGGTACTGCTGACATGCTAGACATTCATTCTCTGTTGGTTACCATTTCCATTTCACATATGTATGGCCACAGGACAGCTAGCTTCATCATCCCCACCCCCCTTCAGTCCTCCTCCTCAAGCCCCATGCTCTGTAATTGTTCCCAAGATCAATTTACAGCTCTAGTTTTGTGTATTTCGCACTAGGTTTTGTAGGGGAAAAGGTAAGTAGTTAACTGTTTTTGTTCTAAAAATAATTATGTACTGTCAAACCTACCATAGCAGTGCTGTTGTCGTTTAGTTATAATAAGTTTTGTTTTCACACCGGAAGAAAAGCGTTTAGAGCTGGAGAGCAGATGGTGTTATGTGGTGACAATTAGTGTTTTTTTAATCCATTTACAAAAATGCGACAAGAGCAGTAATCACGATGACTTCCACCTGCCGCACACTCTTATATATACTGTATGTCCCTGTAGAGTATTTTGTCCTTTGGGTGTATTATTTAAGATATTTGTGTATATTAGGTAGTGGTGGTTGATCTGTTGAAAATGATTGCCTATAAATTTTGTTTCTACTAGGTAGCATGGCCCAGTTGCTATTAGATTATTTATAGTACATACAGTATATCAGAATCTCTCTTTGTTTCTCAGGTGTGTGGCTGCTGCTGACCTGGCCAGGCAGTTGCCATGGCAACAGATATAGTGTGTCATGACAGCATGTGGTTGCTAGGTGTGGGCTAGCAGCTCAGCTAACAGAGGCGGTTCAATAATTGATAGACGGCCTGTGTGTGTGTGTCTTTTGGCATTTGCTACTTGTCATAAGTAATGTCCACAAAAACCAATTAAACACACAGAGCTGCCCTTGAACAGTTTCCACAGTTATTCTATCAATGAGGTGTACTACCTTCTCATGGTAGTACCCACAGCCCCACCCCCCATGTCATGAATTTCTGCTACCACATGGTGTGATATCGGTAGCAGCAGTCACAGCAGCATCTCTTAGTGGCACCTGCTACACGGAACAAATCAACATCATTAACGCTATCTGTCTGCTTGGAGACAGTGGATAGTCCTGTTAATCAGCTTCCTTACAGTATGTTGATCTGGGTAGTGCCTGAAACTACTCACTCCTTCACTCATTCACTGCACGTCTTAGCAGTTTATGAGATTTTAGACTCTTACAAAGTCTCATCATCTTGTGTTGTCCCTAACGGAAAATACTATGGACACTCCTGCTTGTTATATTTGGGGAATTTCAGAGGGCACTATATAGCATATGAATGTCATGCTGAGGCAAATAAAATAGCACAGCATACCGTGTTTAGTGCACTTTATAATAAAGGTAAAACAATTAGTCAGTTGTTTGTAAAATTCATCGCAGCTGTTTTGATCATCATTATCTGTTTAAGTCAACTTTCTAGAAATAATGACAGATAATTTGATGGTTCCAGCTCCTAAAATGTATTTGTTTTACAATATAACGAGTAGAAAATCTTTAAGGCTTTTTTGCTACTTTTATGGAAGGAACAAGAAAGTAAATAATTAGAAGATTAATCAATAATGAAAGTGTCAGTTACTGTAACATTAACATTATGTAGTAAATAGTATTGTAGCCATGAGATCACTGCATATAAACAACACAGCCATTTATCCACTTGGTTTTGTTTTCTGTAATTATAGCAAATATAGTTATGCTGCATATGCATTGTCAAATAGATAAATGAGTTTCTTTTTTTGCATTTTTTTTTCATAAATGCTGCACATGCGTTGTATCCTGAAGATGTTTTTCTACATAGCTTGTATTTTGTCTGATTGTCATCAAATTTAGACCAAAGCCTCAATTACATTTCAATTCATATAAACTGTCCATGCACTTTGTTTACTGCTGCGAAAAAGGAATCGTCATATTCAGTGTTTGAGAGTTGCTTTTTTTGTGAAAAATGCAAAAGCTGATATATTAATTTCTGTCTTTTGTTTGTTTCTTTCAGTGCCTACATTGTGAGAAATCCTTCCTTAATTCCTCCTTTCTCCAGAATCACATGCAGCGCCGCCACCCTGACGAGTACGAGATGCGTAAGTCAGCCAGTCCCAAAAAAGTTCAGCAGTTTTGGAGAGATAGAGGAGTCAGATAAAGTACCAGCACCAGGAAAAATATCAAGCAGTAATATGTATTAAGCCATTCAGAAACAGATTTGTGATGTCATGTAGATGAAATATGAAATACTTTCTCATATTGTTTTGTTTCATTAAATATTAGATTTTTTTCTTGTTATACTTCCTTCTAGAGTTGCTCTCAGATAGTGAGAAGAAGTCTCAGATTGAAAGTCTCAGATTGGAGAACAGCAGTCTGAAAGAGCAGATTGTTCAGCTGCAACAGGCCTTGCAAGCCAAAAGAGCACAGGTAGGAAAACCAGAACACTGTTATAGGAGTGTATCACAAAGCAGGTCCACCTTAGTCTGTCTTTCATGGGGTCACCTGGCTCCACTAAACCTGACATCAGTGATCATGAATAACTGGTATCTTGGTGCTGATTAGCTACAGCTAGGGCTGTCATGTTGTCATAAAGTCAAACTATTTGACCATAACCATGCAGTATAGCAGTCACCACAAAGGCTGTCCATCCATCAACAGTCAGAGTATCTTACTCCTGTATAGTCTATAATATTTTTCTGTGGTGTTCTAGTTCTGTCATTATCATGAAAAGCTTGTCCCAAACAATGCCAATGGGCCACACACCTCTTCATATCTTACCAGTTACATTCTGGCTACATTCAAATATACTGTATTTTCAAACTTCACATAAAAAGTGACAACCCGAAAGTAAAGATTTAATTTTGCAGAATAATTTTATCTATCTCTGACATAAATGAAGGATTTTGTTCATGTCTAAATTTTTTTTTTATTTCAACTTTTATTTGTAAGGGACCATGTAAAATAGTAAACATAGATGTTGCCATTTGATGTATTGTGCCAGAGTTAGCTTCAAGGTTTTCCACTTTTAATTCCAAGTACTTTACACATTTTGGTCTTATCCTCTGAGATTAACCGTGCAGCAGATGTGGTAAAAACACTCGTAGTGATGATCTAAGCCTGTATCAAACAAGCAGATTTATCATACTGGAAAACCTGAGTCAAGCCAAAGATAGCTGGCTGACATATGCCTTGCCTTTGTAGTAGTTGGTCTTTACAATTTGAGAATGATTTTGATAAATAACTTTATTGTCAGGGCCGCTCGGCGGCTGCCGGCTCTCTTCCCCCCTTTTCTCCTCTTTTTTCTCTTTCAATACTCTGTTCTCTCGACCTGCCTTTCTTCTGCCTTTCACTCCTCTGTTCTCTCGACCTGCCTCTCTTCCGCCTTTCTCTCCTCTGTTTTCTCGACCTGCCTCTCTTCCGCCTTTCTCTCCTCTGTTCTCTCGACCTGCGGGATTCGCACCTCAGCGGTGTTGCATTTGTAATTAGCGATTTGTTTGTCGGTGCACACAGCTGGGGTGCATCCCGCTGATTGATTTCCTCCTTATTTATACCTCTGGCAGACGCTCCGCCGTCGCCAGAGCATTACCCAAAGTACGTGACTTATTCACTTAACTAAGAACATGTTTATTGCACACGATGAAGACATGTGGTAAGATAGAAACACTGACAGTGACTGTGCGTTCCTTTTCTGTCGTCACGTTATAGTTATATGTGCTAGTTACCTGTACCGCTTCCAACGCTGACAGTGACTGTGTGTTGGTTTTCGGTTGTTTGCTTCTTTTGTTCCTTTTTATTTTTTCTCGTCTGCCGTCGACTCACCTGTTCATCCTGGTCTCTTCAACCATCTCCACTCTACCCCGGACTGTATAAGTACTTGGACAATATTACGTTATCTGGTGTTACTTTGTGTTTTCCCATTAAACCTCCTTTTTTTACTAGCACCTGGGTCAGCATACTTGAGTCCTGCCTCAGTTCTCCCTCACCCTCCTGGTGAGGGGGACTAAAACCTAACATTTATTTAGACTTCTATTTTAGAGCCAGTCATTTATGGTTTCATAGTCATTAATAAATCTCATTTTTGTGTAATTCCAGGAGAAAGAGCAGCAGTCCATGTACAAAGAGCTGCTGAGAGAGCTGGACTGTCTTAAGGCTGAAATGGCCCGTGTGGATAGAAAGATTGAAGACAGCAGGGATGGCATGCGCAGGGAGATGGAGTTTCATTACAGTAGAAATGTTCAGGTTCTTAATGTATGAAAAGGAGAATTCTTTTCACTGCTTTTTATAGGTGCCCACATGATATTTCATTTGGATGACAGGATATTTATATTTCACATGTATTTCTATTCATTCATATAGGAAACAAACCAGAATCAGGCAGCCAGGTATGAGAAATCAGCTAGCCCTGTTCACTCCCAGCCAGAGAGGGACATGGACATCTACAAAGAGATGCAGATACAAACTATTCAGAAGCTGGAACACCAGCTGAAGAGACAGGTTAGTGTAGAAGGGACATGATATTTTAATACCAAGAGTGATTTTGAACACATCCTAAAATGCTCAAAATATTTTCTAGGATAAAAAGTGGGAATCCAGGCTACAGGAAATTAAGGCTCAGCATGAGTCTGAAAAGAATCAGGTATTTGTCATTATAATTAGCAGGTCAGAGTATTTTGTTGCTTTTACTTTAGAATTGAAGGCTCTAGTTGGACACTGCATCCTCTTCCTGTTGTCTTTCAGCTGCTGAACGAGCTGAGTAGAATGCAGTCGTCCGTGTCGGAGCACCAGAACCGAAGCAAGAGGCTGCAGCAGGAAATGAGCAGAAGGCTACAGGAGAACAAGCAAACCATCAAGGCTCAGAGAGAGCAGGTTGACACTCACTCACTCACTCTCCCACAGTTATCGCCGCCCAGAGAGGAAGCAAGGCAGAGGGTCAACCCTTGTTCAGGATTTCCTATATTTGCTACATGGGCTCAGATTGTGCTGTATTCAGATATGATGATACTGTACATTTGACATGACCCATAGTACACAGGAAGCTGGTGCTGTTTCTGGAATAGTTCCACCAGGGTTCTGGCAGATCCTTTAAAAAGTATTCAAATTGATTTTAACAATTTAAGGTCATAAAATATCTTATAAAGTCTTACTCATCAGATGTCTTAAATTTGGAGATGACACTGAGGATAACTGGTACTTATCTCAATACTTTATCAAACCTGTCTATATTACTGTACCTAGTTAGCATTATAATTTTTTATTACTCATTTTTGTGGATGTGCTTGTTACGCCTTGCATTCATATGACTTCTATGTATGCTGTTCTTCACAATTTCTGTGAATGGAAAAGAGAAGAAGAAGCTAGCAAGATGGGGAGATGCAAATTTAAAAAAAATTGGCTCTAAGATGAAAAGTACTGGGAAAAGTTATTTGTTGCAAGTAATGACTTTGAGGCAACTTGTAAGATGAGCTGAAACATTTTTTAACTTGAGACAATAGGAATTAAAGAGTCCCGTAAGAAATCAGAACAGCACAGACACTATGTTGGTACTTGAAAAAGTACAGTGCCAATGGAATCTTTGGTGTCTGTTGCCAATGCATCATCAGTTTAAAAACTATAAAAGGTACACTACTGTAACAATAATTAAGTCCAGTACCAGTCCTGCAGTAAATCCTACAGTCATGTTCAGTTTTTGTTGCAGCAGTTTGAAACCTGGGAGTTATGGTTTTTGCTGGTGTTGAATTGTATTGAGCTATTATAATTGGGTGTTTCTGTCTTCTCCCTATTTATACCAGCGTGGATTGTTAAAAAAAAAAAACACAGACTCAAAAGCCATCATAGCCTGACCATGTGATATAATAACATCATTTTTCCCCTTTCACCTTACAGATAAGGAACATTTCCTCAAACCCACCTACCAAAGTCGTGGAAGTACCTGGTATGGAATCCTCTTCAGTAGGGTTGGGTGTTGTTTGGGTTTTTCTGATACCGGTGCTAAAATGATAACTTTTAAAACAGTACCAGAACAAATACTTTAAAAAAGGGGCATAAAACTAGGCCATAAATTTCATAATTTGAAGGACAAGGCCATTTGGCTGTTGATTTCATGTTTTTGGAGGGCACAAAGGCCACTAGACTGGGCACTAAGGTCGAGGCAAATTACATAATATGTATGTGTACGTACCTTCTGTCTACAGCCTGAGCAGTAAAGTTACAAACTAGTGCAGATACTTGTGGGGTGGCTAAAGGGAAACATGCAAAGATAGTATAGTACCTGTGGACTTTTATTATAATTTGGACAGTAAAAGGTGTTATAAACAATATAAAATTACCAACACTATCAAGAGAACAAACCGATACCCTAGATGCCCCCATCACTCTGGAAGAATTCCACAAAGCACTGAAATCCATGCCAAATAATAAATCACCTGGACGTGATGGATTCCCTGCTGAATTTTATAAACACTTCTGGTGGATTTTATCACCACCTACATGAAAATTAAAATTCAATTCTTATATTATTACATCAGTGTTGGGTCAATTTTAAAAAAGTATTTTGATTAATGTAATACTTACTCTCCATAAAACGTACTGGATTATTTATTAATCATTACTTTACAAATCCCATATCAACCACAATAGGAATTTTAAGAAAGGGTAGACATAAAACTGCACTTTTAATTCGTACAAAAATCGGTATTTTATGCAATTACTGAAGTTACTCATTAAATTATTGAAGAATTAAGAACCATTCCTTACTTTACAAGTGACAAATAATATTACTAACGTTATTTAGTAATTACTTACACCGAACACTGTATGATTAAAATGTAAACGTACGCATTGACTCGGGCAGCTGTTTTCCCATGCCCACTCTCACCATCTCTATTCGCAGTCTTCATTGAACCTCTAGCAGCAGCAATACGACAGAATAATAGCATCAAAGGAATACAAGATGCCAACTCACAACATAAAATTAGCCTCTATGCAGGACTATATCTACAGGACCCCTACAATTCACTATGAGAAACTTTCTCCATTATTAATACATTCTCCAGGATCTCTAACTACACAATAAACTGGAATAAATCCACCATATTGCCACTCTCTGAAGATGCCTGGGATTCTGCAGCTCAAGACTGTCCCCTACCACTTCACACTGGCAACATTAAATATTTAGGCATCTGTATTTCCCCTAGGCTGTCAGAACCTTTTAACCTTAACTACACCCCTGTGCTAAAAAAGATAGAAGATGATTTTAAACGCTGGTCCAACCTTCCACTGTCACTCATTGGCCGAATTGCTACAGTGAAAATGAAAATTTTACCACAAATTAACTACTTGTTCTCAATGCTTCCCACAACACCAACAGATAAATGGTTCAAATCACTCGATTCTCTAACTTCACAATTTTACTGGAATAATAAGAAACCCCAAGTTTCCCTGTCAACACTCCAGAAGAATAAATCACAAGGTGGCCTAGAAGCACTACATTTTGAGTATTATTTCTTAGCAAATCAATTACAATATTTTAGTTAAGTGGATTCAGTAGGATAGTTGTAATAGCTCGTGGATGGAACTAGAACAAAATCGATGCAAAAATACTTCAGTTACAGACCTTTCCTTCCTACCATACTCAATTAAGAAAATGAACTATTTCAAAAACATCACAATCTCTGCAACTCTTGACAGCCTGGTGGAAAGCAAACAAAACCATTAAATAAATCATTAACACCAAGTGGATACACTCCAATTTGGCATAACCCTGACTTTCCAGTTAATAATAATCCCATCTACTTTCCAACATGGCAACACAAAGGAATAACTCACCTTCATCATCTATTTGAAAACAAACAGTTCATATCATTTAACACATTAGTCCAGAAGTACGCAGTTGGGAGAGGAGAATTTCTCCAGTACCAACAGCTAAAATCCATAATTAAATTAAAGATCAGTATAATCAACAACCCCCTGCAACCTTCCATGCTTGCTGAGGAGATAATGAAATTTACAGACTCAAAGAAGATTATATCTAAACTTTATAAACTAATGTCAAATACAGATGGAACAATAACATTACCAGTGACTAAATGGGAAGCGGATTTATCTCTCCCCCCCAGTCCCGACTTCTGGACTGAGATTTGTAAAAATATCTTTTCCATGAATACCAATATAAACTTACAGCTTATACAAGACTATTCACAGGACTCATATCACACAAGGTAAAATGTTTAAAATGGGTTTTATTGATACAGATACCTGCTCACAATGCACTCTGGATAGCGCCGATGATTACCTTCATGCTACTTGGACCTGTCAACCCATTTACTCCCTCTGGGTAACGGTGACTGAGAAACTCTCCACCATCTTGAGCTATAGAATTAAATATAAAAACCCACTTCTTATCTGTCTAACTATCGCCAAGAAAACAATCTTTCTAAACTGTAAATCTTTCTGCCACGCACATTCCCACAAACTTCTAGATATATAACAAGCTGATTTTTACTTCAATTTGGTTACTGTTACTAGTCCTCATGGTCCATGGTTCTGTTTTGAGTGTCACACCTATCAAACCAAATTAACTGAGAATATTACCTACCCCTCCTTTTTTTCTCTTCTCCTCTTCCCTCTCTTTCTAATCATTTACTGATCTGTTAATTTCATTTATTTTTGTCTTATGAATGTGTTTACATATATATCTGAGTGTATACATAAGTATGTGAATGGAAAAGTATATAGTATATGATTGATATTGCTTTATTACTTTTTTCCCTTTTCTTCTTTATTTTATTACTACAATGATTCTTTTACATTTATACCCCCTCCACTTTCCTAGTTTATTTGGTTTAATTCTATTTTCCCTTAAGTAATGAATATCAGTCTGCATAGAGTTGGATACACACACACTGCACACTTCCACACATACAACTCAGTGCCCTCAATTAATAATCCCTCCACTAGACTGGGCACTAAGGTCGAGGCAAATGACATGATATGTATGTGTACGTACCTTCTGTCTACAGCCTGAGCAGTAAAGTTACAAACTAGTGCAGATACTTGTGGGGTGGCTAAAGGGAAACATGCAGAGATACTATAGTACCTGTGCACTTTTATTATAATTTGGACAGTAAATGGTGTTATCTATGCACATTGAGACTCAGAGGCAAACTTGTTGCTCTCTGCTGATGTTGTCTAAGATCATGGGTCAGTAGACTCATTGATGTATTGAGGTGAAAACAGAGGAAATGACATCTGATTTCTCTTAATTATTCTAACTGCTGCAATAGATATATTCTTCTGGCATCATGATGACAGAATGACCAGCATCAATTCTGTTAAAACTAAAAATAAATGCATAACGGCTCCTCAAATCTGACGGATCTGATGAGGACACACTGGCCACTGTGACCGTATAACACTGACAGATATCCAGGGCATCATGGACAGATGCCAAGGGGTGAAATTTATACCCTACGTAAAACAAAAATTGACATAAAAAAAAAAAAAAAATTCCCATTCGTTACCAGCTCTGACTTCTGAGCTCTGAGGTAAATAGAATGCAGCATAAATGTAATGATAGCATTAGCACATGATGTGCAGTGATGCTTCTGTTGCCTATATTATCCGTTTCACAGCATCAGAGGGCAAATATTTCAGTCAACAGGCATTTTAAGTGGCACCGAAAAATGCATTGCGATTCAGTCTGGTAGATATTGACTGAGCTTCGGTACCCATCCCTATTCTTCATTTAGTTTTTCATTGAAGGAAACTGCATGTGTGATCCTAATGCATTCATCTTCTCTGTTTTACAGTGATGGTCAGTGCACCAGCACCTCAGCCTAAATCAAAAAGAGTTGGACTTGGTAAGCCAGTAGAAGCCAGCTGTCATGGGAGAGAGTGAGGTGGCTTTACATAATGTTGTCGCAGACAGCAAACTCTTTATAAAGCAGTACTGTCACCACATTCTTCAACCCCCAACTCTTTTTAATGCCTCTTTTATCTGACTCCCTAACTTCCAACAACCGTTGACCTCATATGCTGTCTGATTAGAGAAGCCAGTCTGTACTCTAAAGCTGGATCCTATACAGGAATTATCAGAAGAGGAGAAAGGTAAAAGAGATGCTAAATCCAGCAGAGCCGGTCAACTGCATGCTGTCTGTGTGGATGCATCAGTCTGTTCTGTGCGGCCTTTTCCTTGAATGTATCAGGACTGAGATTGTCTCACTCAAGCCATTAAGATAAACATAGCACAGAGAAGCTTTCTGGAAAGCCAGCTCGTGGTCTGTGACGTTCTATGATGCCTGCCATGTCAGTTACACTCATCATTATGCCCATTCATCATCTTGTTACCCTGTTTGTGACAAACTTGTAGATGTTCTCCTCTTCTGGCTGCCACACCACGGTCACATACTTCAGCTTGCTGTGAAAACTGGCAAATGCATGCTCATTTTACTTTTATGCATATATGCCTCAACCACCTTTGAGGGCCTAGTGAGACTCATGGCTGATTAAATGAGCTCTCTTCTACAGATTCGAGGAGCATCTCTGAGAGGAAGCCAGAGGCTGTACCAGAGAAGAAACAGAGGGTAACCACCAGTATTCAAAAAGGGAACGCCAACATAAAGAAAGGAATGAGACCAGAGCTTGAGCAGGCTGTCATTACAAAGCTGGAGAACCTGGGGGTCAAGCCTGTAAGCTCATACACACTTATATGTAGGACTCAGGAAACTTAAGATGTGCAAATCTTAAGGTGTGATTTTATTCTCTCTACCTCTGCTCAGGATCAGACTGGCTTGAAGAACAAGGAGCTCACTTCCCTCCTGGCCAAGCTGCAGTCAAAGCGGGACAGCTCTGCTAAGGGGATGCCTGACTACTGGCGCCACCGGGAGGAGATAGCCAGTACTGTGGAACAGAAGCTGGGTGGTCAGCGAAGAGGCAGTGATCCTGCTCCTGAATCACAGGCCAGATCCAGACAGTCAGTTCAAGGTGCTTTCCAGGACTGAGTCACCCCCCCGAAAAAAAGTCTCTTCTTGCTGCCACATAAGCTGACTTAAGCTCTGACACACTGTCAGTGGCTAAGCTGCTGATTCTTTGTATTATCTGTTCTGTCTTCATGTAGTGTTGCAGATCCGGCCTCGATCCAGTAGCCTTCCTTCCAGAGCAACCCAGGTCATGTCTGCATCTGCAGTCAAACAACCCAAGACCCCCCAGCCGGCACCAAGGACCAAAACTACAGCCCCACCAAAGACATCTATACCCAACACCAAGAGCATACCGAGGACGTTCACAACCAAGTAAAGATCTGGATCTAATCTGTGTAAAATTATTGCTTGTAATCCCTCAGCTGACAGCATGCAGCCTGCTTTGGACAACATTTCACTGCACAAAGAGAAATAAAGTGTTGCTCAGAGCAACAATAGTAGGTGTAGAACAGAGAGGAACTCACCAGCAGAAATGTTGCATTAGATGGAAGGTAGTGTGGGAGTTTTTACCTAGAATTGAACTGTCTATAATGGTTATGTGAAAGGGGTCACTTGTACTGATGAACTAACAGGATTACCAGATGGATCTGCAGCTCCCTCTGCTTTAAGGAGCTTTAGTGTGTTACAGAAACAGCACTTTGTGCAGCAATGTTGTACTCACAGTAGACTTGGTTAGGATGTGATCTAAGGAGAGCTGCTGCAGCAAAGTGTTGGATTTAGTGTGAATCCATTTCTCTTAATCATCACATAAATCCAGATGCAAATCACGTGTTGATAACAGATGTAGGGGCTCTGTTTTGTGTAGCTTCAAGAAAAACAAGAATGTGAAGTGTTGAATGATGAAGTAAAAACATAATCGTGTTTGTGTGATTCCTGAGGACCCCTCCTTTCAGCTCTGATAACGAATCGGATGAAGAGATGACAGACACAGAGGAGGAACAGCCCCAGGACCACCCGAGGGCCAAATCACTGCAGCCCACACTAAACCAGACAGCCCTGGTCCAAAACAGAATTGAGGCCAGGCAGGCTCCAACCAGGCAATTTTTGTCCAACCCCCAGCAGTCCAGGGGGTCAGTGGGTGCTGTGACCAAGACGGCAGTCACAGAGATGGAGAGCAATGACGACGAAGACTGGTCAGACGTCAGTGAGCTGCAGGAGGTTGACCCCAGACAGCTGCATAGTTACAGAGACCAGAACAGAAACATGGGCAAAACAAACTCTGGTAAAGGTAAGTTGTCCATTTTCAAAGCAGCCAGTGTACACCTTGTGTTATAGTCCTTTATTTAGTCATACCAGTTGTGCTGCATGCACTCAGAGTTCCTGTGAATCCTTACATTTCATTTTCAGAGGTAAAAAGTCTTCTGTCTAAACTCTGAGACATTTTATTAACACGATTAACTTATTTAGATATAGCAGTTGTTTTTCTTCAGTGTCAGCTGAGTGCAGTTTTTTTTGCCTTTCTTTGTGGTATGCTTGGCTTAGTCCACTGTGGCTCACTAGCTGCTCTTGCACATGGTCCAGGAAGTTAAAAAACCATAAACAATACCAATGACACTTAACTAAAGACAGTTTCCCAGAGATTTTCAGGGAAGACATGTATTGTTTTGTTTGTATTCCAGCCATTTAAACATGGTTTTTATCTATACAAATGTAAATCTCAACTCAGAATGTTGGCTGTTTTATATTGTTGTGAGATGGAAGTTGTACTTATTAAGCCTCATTGATGTATTTTATGAAATGTCTGTTTTGTTTTGTTTTTTCTTCTTCTTTAAGAAAACAAAAGCAGTGACCTCACCAGAAAAATGGAGAGACAGTTTGCAGAGAGAGTGGTAAAGAAACCAGCAGGGGGTGTCAGCATTTTAACAGAGAGGAAAGATGAGGTTCAGGAACTCAGGGTGAGATGATGGGATCTCACTGCATAGCTTTGGTGTACAATGGTGCCAAGTCATTTATTTATTTATTTTTTAAGTGGTGTTAGCTGGATGGCTAAATGTCTGAATAATGTTTCTCTATGTGGTGACAGTACTCGGATCAAGAGGATAGCAGTGACTGGGTGGTCTCCTCCTTAGAGGAAAAACAGGAAGTATCTAAACCAGCCCAGGTCTCTGGACCTCTGAGGAAGAGCCTGGAGTCATCCAGCACCAGTGTCTGGGGAACCTCCACAGGAAAGGGCCCAAAATCAGGTCAGTTAGAGTCTTTACAGTAGGATATGTTCACAACTGGAGAATGAATGTGCAAACCCCAATTCCAGTGAAGTTGGGACATGGTGTAAAACGTAAATAAAAACAGAATACAATAACTTGCAAATCCTTTTTGACCCATATTTAATTGAATACACCACAAAGACAAGATATTTAATGTTTAAACTGATAAACTTTATTGATTTTTGCAAATATTCACTCATTTTGAATTTGATGCCTGCAACATGTTCCAAAAGAGATGGGACAGGGGCAACAAAACACTGGGAAAGTTGAGGAATGAGAAACACCTGTTTGGAACATTTCACAGGTGAACAAGTTTATTGGAAACACGTGAGGGTCATGATTGGGTATAAAAGGAGCGTCGCAAAAGGCTCAGTCATTCCCAAGCAAGGATGGGGCACTGTTCACCACTTTGTGAACAACTGCGTGAACAAATAGCCCAACAGTTTAAGAACAAGGTTTCTCAATGTACAATTGCAAGGAATTTAGGTATTTAATCAGTCCATAATATCATCAAAAGATTCAGCGAATCCAGAGAAATCTCTGCATGTAAGCGGCAAGGCTGTAAACCAATACTGAATACCCATGACCTTCGATCTCTCAGGCGGCACTGCATTAAAAACAGACATCATTATGTAAAGGATATTACCACGTGGGCTCAGGAACACTTCAGAAAACCATTGTCAGTTAAAGTTCATCACAATGTCTACAAGTGAAAGTTAAAACTCTATTATGCAAAGCGAAAGCCAAACATCAACAACACCCAGAAACGCCGCCGGCTTCTCTGGGCCCGAGCTTATCTGAGATGGACTGATGCGGCAAAGTGTGCTGTGGTCTGACGAGTCCATATTTCAAATTGTTTTTGGAAATCATGGACGTTGTGTCCGGGCTATAGAGGAAAAGGACCATCTAGATTGTTATCAGTGAAAAGTTCAAAAGCCAGCATCTGTGATGGTATGGAGGGTGTTAGTGCCTGTGGCATGGGTAACTTGCACATCCGTGAAGGCACCATTAATGCTGAAAATATGCTGCCATCCAAGCGATGTCTTTTTCAGGGATTTCCCTGCTTTTTTCAGCAAAACAATGCCAAGCCACATTCTGCACGTGTTACAACGGTGTGGCTTCATAGTAAAAGAGTGTGGGTACTAGACTGGCCTGCCTGCAGTCCAGACCTGTCTCCCATTGTGGTGCATTATGAAGTGCAAAATACGACAACGGAGACCCCAGACTGTTACAACTGAAGTTGTACATCAAGCAAGAATGGGAAAGAATTCCACCTACAAAGCTTCAACAATTGGTGTCCTCAGTTCCCAAATGCTTAAGTGTTGTTAAAAGGGAAAGTGATGTAGCACAGTGGTAAAAATACCCCTGTCCCAGCTCTTTTGGAATGTGTTTCAGGTATCCAATTCAAAATGAGTGAATATTTGCAAAAAACAAAGTTTAACAGTTTGAACATTAAATATCTTGTCTTTGTGGTGTATTCCTTTAAATATGGGTCAAAAAGGATTTGCAAGTCATTGTATTCTGTTTTTATTTACATTTTACACCATGTCCCAACTTCATTGGAATTGGGGTTTGTAAGATGAGGATGGTCTCAGTTTTTCCTTTGACTTGTTCTGTCTGTACAGCGGTAGAGTAACCAAAGTGGCCTTGTTCCTGGCAGGTCTGACGGAAGCTGGAACAGGAAGCAGTCTGAAGAGCAGCCTTTACTCCCTCAGTGACGTCAGTGACTCTGAGGACATTAGCAATAAACACCACAGCTGATCAGGAGATGCAGCACAAACACAAAGACCTCAGTTAGCTCCTCTGACATCTGCATTACAGATTGCCAAATAGCCAAATTTTATATAGAAGCTTTTATAAAGACCTGAGTGATATTTAAGGAGTTAGTCTGTTCAAGACTGAGACTTTTTGTTTAGAGAAGAAGCCCATCTAATACAGTACATATTTTAGAGGGAAATGAGCTTCCAACTTTGATTGACTTTTTATTCTCACCTTCCGCCTTGTACCAATTGTAGTTTCCTTTTATGTGTATTCAGTGAAATATAACCAATGCTCAGTAAGGTATTTGTGGTACAGTATGTGTAAAATATTGTATAACAAATTCTTTAATGTGTTCATGTGAGATTTTTGTATAGCAAATATTTATACATACAATTAAAGATTTCTTTGTAGAACACATGCTTGAATACTACAGGTATGTGCCAAAAAATTAGAATATCGAGGGAAAGTCCATTTATTTCAATAATTTTTTTCAAAAAGTGAAACTTGTATGTTATATTAGTTCACTACACACAAAGTGAAATATTTCAAGCCTTTATTTGTTTCAATTTTGATGATTATGGATTAAAGACAAAAAAACCCAAATCCAATATTTCACAAAATTAGAATATTTCATGTGACCAATAAAAAAAGGATCTTAAACACATGTTGGCCTTCTGAAAAGTGTGTTAATGTACTGTATTATGTCCTCAGTACTTTGTTGGGCCTCCTTTTGCATTAATTACTGCATCAAGGCGGCGTGGCATGGAGGCGATCAGCCTTTGACACAGTTGAGGTGTTATGGTAGCCCAAGTTGCTTTGATATTGGCCTTCAGCTTGTCTGCATTTCAGGGTCTGTGTTCCCTCATCTTCCTCTTGACAATACACCAGAGATTTTCAATGGGGTTTAAGTCAGGT